TCCATAAATATTATTTAGCTAACTTAGGTATTTTAATATCACTTGTATTAATATAACCCTTTAATTCTTTGTAATTTTACATAGTGAGACACTAAGTGACTAATATATCTTTGACTTTTGATTTGTTTCATTCAATTAGCTATTGAATTATAAATGTATTCTAAAAGTTGATAACTTTTGTATTTCTTATCGGTTTTACATATATAATATATCAAATTAATCATCTTTTCATGATCTTCGATTTGTCATCCATATTGTATATATAAAACAAATAAATTATATTTATCTTTATAATAATAAAAATAATAATATTTATTAAAATTTATTAGAAAAATAAAATTATTTCTCAGTTGAAATATTTATGTATAATGTAGTTATATGTTGTAAGTTAAAAAAAATATTATAATATAACACAAGTAAATCACACAAATAAAAAGTGTCATACTAAATATATAATAATATATATATTTTAGTAAAAGATATTTAAATTTTCAACTACTTTTTCTCATTAATTTAAGATTTTAAGGAAAAAATTAGCAAGTATCTGTGTAATACACGAGCGTTGTACTAGTGCTAACCGAAGCCCCTGGAAAAACCCCTGAAAAAACACATGTAAGTCGCACAAGTAACATGCGTCATTCTAAAATATATAATAATATATATTTTTTTGTAAAAAAGTAAACAAAATTTAAAATAATATTTCTCATTAATTTAAAATTTAAAAATTATTTTTTAACAACTCCCCGTGTAATACACCGGTGTTGTACTAATAAATATTGAATTAATATTTCTAGCAAATAATATGAATTGATTTACCGTTAATTTGTCTTTATAAGTTTTATAAATTTTCAATTTCGAGCTTATGATTTAAAGTAGTGTATTTAAATACCGTTTCGGTGGTCAACCTGTCCAGCCACCGGTATGCGGTATTATCGATCGGACCGGTAATATCGGTGTTATTATCGGACTAGCAGATATAATGTTATATATAAATATACATGATTATATATATATAGTACCAAATGCAAAAAGGTATAAAAATAAATGAACATAATCATTAATTTCAACTTCACAATAAGATAAAAATAAAACATTTTAACTACCAATTTAAATTTTATGTTTTTAAATTTATAAAATTTGTTTTTTTATTAGCCGATTATTTAGACCAGTATTTTCTGATATTTGCGATATGATCCCGGTACAAATCAGTGTAACCGTAAATCCGGTATTTTATGTGTAAGTGTACCGTACCAATGAAGGGTATTCGATATTAGCAACAAATATGTTACGGTATTTAAATCACTGATTTAACGAGCTCACTTGTTTTATTTATGTTACCGAGACAAGTTCCAAAGGCTCATAAATAATACAAAATATTTAAAGTTATGACTTATCTTTTTTTTTTTAATCTAATGTTATTTTCTTTTTATTTAATTATTCCGAATCCAGCTCGGGCGATTAAATAAACAATTTTCATTTCCCTCTAAAGAAAAAAGAAAATAGAGAAAAAAAAAAACAATTTTCGGTATTTATAATTATTACATTATCATTAGTCACTTCCTCAACTCAACAATGGTAGTATGAAAAAATACATGAAATCCAAAAAAAAACGCGGATTCGAAGATTCCTTTAACATCACACACATAGTTTTAAGACTTTGAATGGGTCAGCAGTTGGAACTTTCCAGTTTCCCCTAGGGGTGGGCGCGGTCAGGGACGGTCTGGGATTTGACCTATCCCGGTACATGTCCCGGTTTTTTGAACCGGTCTGGGACCGGTCCGGGACGAGACCCCGTCCCAAACGGATCGGTATGAATCCGGACCGGGACAAAACGATTCGGGATCGGGACAAAACGGGAAAAAAAATGTTCAAAATTCAAATTTTTTATTGTTTCACTTAAAAAAAACTTTGATTCCATAACAACAAATTAAAATGCAATCATGCATTCTGCATTAAAAAAAAAAAAATAGCTACTAATACTAAATTAAACATTGAACATTGTCTACACAAAGCTTGTTAAGACTAAATTAATTATTAAAACAAAAACTGAAACTGTGACATTGTAAACATAAATATAAATAATGTATAATATATATACTATATATAAATATAAATAATGTACATTGTTAACTTAAACCAAGCATTTAACTATATAAAATATAAATATTGTATACTATATATAATATACATTG